GTAAATATAGGGCACAGGCTAGAGGGACACTCAAGAATTCAGCAAATTCAAGATGACCTGCTGCTAACCTGGGTGCCACCCTCCTCCTTTCCCCAGCCGGTGCAGGTAAGAATCTATGTGCTGTCACAGGCAGGCAGACAGACAGACTTTGGGATAAGTGTTGTTTTTTTGTGTTTTGGGGTGTACACAGAAGGTCAGGCCATAGACTGACCTGCAGATTTACCTGTAATCCAGGCAACAACACAAGCCGGAAGTGACATGGCAGCCTCTGTGAGGCGCACGGCAGATCAGAGGGGACACGCAGCACAGCAGCAGTCAGGGCAGGAAGCAGAAAGCAGAGCAGATTGGGCAGGGAGCACAGGGTAGGGAACGGAAAGCAGAGCAGCAGACTGGATAGAGGAAGGGGATAGGAGTAGCACTCCAGAAGGGTGGAGGGCTAATTTGTGGCATGCTTGCCAAAAAAGGTTGGCTCCCACTGCTAGGCATTTCTCCCTGTCAGAGCAATAACACAGTAACACCGTGGTGGCTTATGGAAGCTAACCGAATAATTTCACATGTTAATGCCCCAGCTACATTCTGAATTTTCATGTTTAAGAATGCAATGAAAAGTGAGAATTCATCTTTTTTCTGCATTAGAAATTCAGACCATTTGCCCTACAGACAAGGAGTAAGAAGGCATTGCAAAGTAAGAGCAAGACCTGAACAATTGAGAACGGAAGAGCAACTCACGAGGGCTCCTTAAACCTGTGGGGTTTGCATTAACTGAAATGCCAGCTGAATAGCTGAAAGAACTCTACTTCATGAAACACCCAACACTACTGCCCCTGAGAGGAAGGGCTGAACCGACAACCACCTCAGTTCTCTGGCCTTCAAAAGGAGCCCTCCTCCGCACACCCCCCAAACAAACTGGGGGGCCCAAGATGAAATAGTTCTGATGCTTCTGGAATAAAAGGCCCACCCAAGCAAGCCCCTGTGCAGGGCTGCACATGGGTACACATGCACTAGGAGACTGCAGATATAGGCCTGCCTGCTATCGTAAAGCCCAGTCCCTTTGTTTTTGCCCGGCCCTGTGTTGGGGGACACATGGAGCAGATATCTAGTTATGCTGACTCCTGTACAGTAGAAGAAAGAAAAAGCATTCTCCGGTGGAGATGGGAAATGGTGAACAAAGCACAGATCAAAAAGCCCAATGTGATGGGGGCCCTTTTCTATACGTTTTCCTCTCTTTCACATTAAGGATTTTGCCAGATGACAGACCCTGGCCCCACCTACACACAACACCTGCCATCAAATCAGTGGAACCACTCATACTTTGTACTGTCCGGGGCTTTCACCTGGTTACGCCTGGTCTGTATTTGACTTGAGTACTTGATGCAGGCAAGCCCTTCATCTCCTTCCTGCCAGTATTCACAACAGCATCTGGAGAGCACCTGGTTTTGTCTGCCGTGTCCTGGTTAGGCCAGTGGGGGAGAAAACGCTGCTCTTCCAAGCCCATTTTGATACATAAAGGGGCAAGCATGTGTTAACCTCTGAAGAATCTTAGCAGCCACAAAACATCCTCCAGTGTTGGCACTGCTGTTTTTTAACAGTTTGTTTTAATTCTACCTCCTCCTGCAATGTTCAACTAAAACAGTCCTCAGTGACAATGGGCAGATGGAACAAGGCATTCTGGTTCATTATTTTTAGTTTATAAACAGACAAAAGAAGTTTTTATAATTTAACCTGGAACAAACTGGGCGTTTCCCACTCTGTCCAACAGCTGAAAATGCAGCCACACAGAATGTACCCATCTTCCCTCCTATTGAAAACTGAACCCCAAAGGCAAGATTTTCAAAGCTGTTACAATTTGCAAGACTGAGTTTTTATAGCAGAAGCCGGAGTAACCTTAGGTACTATTGAGAAGTGGCAAGTGTATGCTGAGAGAGGATGTCCAAAAGCACATTGGAAAGTATCTGCAGCTGCTTCAGGAGCTCCAGTAGTCAAGAGGGTGGGTGTTTCCCACAATGAAACTTCTCAACAAGTCTGACTCTGCTGCTGTAGGCAGGAAGTACAGCTGAATGTACGAAACTACGAAGAGCACACGATAAATGTATGCAGAAACAATATGAAAGTTGCCCTGTTTGGGGCAGAAAGGAGGTAGGAGGGAGAACAGCAAAGTATTAATGTTAAGTGTTTTACTGGTTTCTTGCATGTATCATCATCAAATAGAGGGTGCCAGCAAGGCTCCCCATTGCCCCTAGATCTAAGGCTCTTCCATACAAAATGAAGCAATAACAGCAGAGCTTTTACTGGACTCCAAGATTCTCTAGCTCTCCTCCCTTTCCAGGCTAGCCAACGTTTTGTCCACTGCAGGATGGTTTTGCTGGGTTTTACACCTGGGACTGGTAAGAGAAGCTGATGGAGGGAATGCTGTGATGGGAAGAACTAACACGTAGGGTTTTTTTGCAGCATTTCCTGACAGTGGGTGGGCTGCGAACTCTAGCCTTGCCCGGAACTTTTACTTGCACCTGGATCCCCTCTGCCAAGAAAGCGGTGTCCTCCACTCCACTCCTCAGCTGTACCTGAGGGTTAAGTCTCCACCAAGAGCCATTCTTACCACAGTGCCTCCCGGGGGGAGCTCACTTTGCTCTTGCACTCAGCAGGAAGACTATTACGTACATAAAACCATTAATATGAGACCACCAATAAAAGTTTAAAGTCAAGGCTGTGAATGGTTTCTCAGCAAAGGGTTGGTCTATAGCAGAGGGGTCAAACTCGCCTAGCCCCACCAGCTGAATGGAGGGACACAGGACTGGTCCATGGGCCAGACTGGGATCCACACCGCACTCAGTATCCACATTAGCTGTTCAGGGATGTGCGCCACATGCAGTGGGCGCTGACTCTAGCATGGAGGGGGAGAGCCTAGGGTCCGTGGGCCTACTAACCCAGAGAGGCTGGAACAGGCACTGCAGGCAGTGTACGTCCTGGGCCCTGCCCGCCAGGCTGGTCTGGGTCAATTCAGACCCAGGGGCAGCACCAGGGGCCAGATAACAGGGCTCTGTCGGCTGGATGCAGCTGGCAGGCCATATGTTTGACACACTCAGCCTGTAACAAAGACAATGCATTGCTCATACTTACAGGTAGTTTGTGATTAAATCCTTTCACTCGAATGATCAAACCATGCTCTCCAGCTACCAGCTTGTATTCCAGTTGAGCCACATCCGCTTCATATGCAGGTTCAGCAAGGTTGTGGGAAAGGATGTTTACAAATGTATCAAACAGCACAACACTGCATGGAAACAGGGGCATGAGTGGGTGCCAAAAGCAAGCAGGAAAAAATACAAAAGCAAAACCAGCCTCAAACTCATTGGCTTGGAGGGAACACAACAAGATGCCCAACAGGAAGGAGCTATTTCATGGGATAACTAAGACATTATTTAAGATATAAACAATAAAATGCAATACAAAAACAACCACTATTTTGCCAGGAATTTAGTCCCATGCAACGCAAGTCATCTGAAAAGCAGGGCTATGACCCTCTCTTTGTTACGAAAACTCAGGGCTGACTACAGATTATTTTGGCAATAAACTGAAAGATATTTGCACCAAAAAGAAAAGACACTTTACTTTAAAAGTCGTATTGGGGAGCACATAAGTAAATGTTCTCCTGCAGCCTTAGTTGTTAAAAATCTGATGAGAATAAAGAACGTATATTTTAAGCAACATATCAGTTCTCAGTATAGTTTGAGAAAAACACATTTTAGCATTTTGTGCAAAAAAAGATTCACAGCTTTTGTTTGAAGGAGCAGTTGCTTTGATGGAGATTTGATAGCTATGTAGAGATTGTATTACAGTAAGAATGGTTCTTTTAATCCAGCTGTACATGCCACAGAAAACTAGCAACACATGCTGTGGGTCTAACCAATACTTTCCCAACTAGGGATCTGGAAAAGTTTTTGAACAATAGATTCATAGATATTCCAAAAACACTGTCTGTGCAGATAGCTCCTCAGGGACTTTACTACATAGCACTGCTCAACCTGATAGTTAGGACCCCACATGGAAGGACACAGCACTGCAGAGCTGTAATCAAAGCCTGTGTATAAGGCACACGTTACAGCTAGGAGTCATGCCCAGAACAGACTGCCCCCTTCCAACACAAACTCTTTACAATTAAATTCCACTCCAATAGATTCCCTGCTATTTCTGTGTCCCTTCCCTTGGCAAAGTCCCTTTTCCTCTGACAACCCCTTTCACACACACAGGCTCCCCAAACTCAACAGCAAGAAGTGAAACGTACAGAACCTGTGGAAAAAGGCCTGCTTGTGTTCTAGCTGCAAGTTGGGGGGTTTTGTTTCAACTACGCAGAAGTTTTAGCTGCTCTGCAAGAGAATGAATAAAAGGGAATCCTTACTTTTCTGCTGACTGCTGTATCAGTGGAGAGATCAGATGGAAACGTACGTACGCTGAAATAAAGAGACTGAAATGAGTAACTGCTGAAACAATGGCAGCTGGAAGCAGAAAATGTCATTAACTTCACACCATTTGTTATCTCTCATCAGTATTATCCTGTTGCACTTAGAAGCTGACCCCACATTTTCAAGTTCAGTTCTAGGGGAAATGTTTTCCTGAATATAACATCGCAACAGACAGGCCTTGAAATGCACTACTGCCCTAATAAAAACCTCACAAGAAAATTAAACAACAAAGAAACGAACCAATAGGAATAACTGTACTAAAAATACAAAAATTGCCCAAGGCTCACTGTAGTCTTCAGAGTAAAATCCCATGTCAGCTCATATTCAAGCTAGACATTTTTCGTTAAACGGAAACTGTGCAAAGGGAGGCCCTCACTAAAAGGGCAGCCTTGAACTAGTTTTCTGACAATGAATTAATGCCTGCATCCCCTCCAGTGTAGCAGCCATGTTGAACCCTGGGAACCCTCCCGCCAGCATGGCGTCCTCCAAGTGAAAAAGCGTGCCACCCTGCTGATGCAAAGGTGGAGCAGCCAGCAGGGCCCTTACAAGCATCATGCAGGGTCACTTGCTCTGGACTGAGGTTTGCAGAACATGTGACCCGAAGTGTCACTTTCCAAGGCCCTGTCAACTGGCCTGTGAGGGTGTTGTGGAGGGTCATCTGCTCCATGCAACAGCACCATACTGATCCAGTTACAGGCTGACCCTGCATAAAAGCAGACTGATTTTTATAGTTCTTTTTGAGAAAAATGAAAGTCAACTTATAATCAGAATAACATGGTATTCTGAGCCACAGACATGTGGTTGCTTGGCTATAACAAATTTTTACCTAGGTTAACCAACATAAAACCAAATAAATCCTGCCTTCCCTAAAATGTCACATGCATGTTAAAAAGAAGCAGAAATGTCCATTACAAAAACACACAATTATTTTACAGGAGACATGGGCAGTGCAGTGCATGGTATAGGGACAGACAGTACCTAGTCATGTGCAGCTGACTGAGACAGGGATGCGATGCTGCTTTAGAAGCAAAAGCGTCACAAGCTGCTTGCTTGCCAGAAAGTAATGTTCTGTGTTTACTTCTGAAGTGTCAAAAGGTGAGGTACAACAAGAACAACTTCTAAAAATACACCCCCGTTTCAAAGAGCTTCCATCTTCAAAAATTAAAAAGCTGTTCCACTCAAAAAGTCTCTCTTAAAACAGCAGCTTTGTTCCCTGGGTTTCAATGATTCCAGATGACAATTCTCTCACTTCATAAGAAAAACATAAGATTTTTCAAACTTAGATGGGTTCCTTCATTCTCACAAACCAAAACAGATTTTGTTTGCCAAATTCTGCCCTCGGTTGCCGCTGTGATACATTTGCATCCCATTCTGAGCAGAGTGCTACCATGTGACAGTAATTATGGATTTTAAAGATCACTGCATTAGAAGTATGTTACTCCCTTAAGAAAATAAAGTCAGGGTTCAGCTACTAACCTAAATATTTCCTACAAAGAAAAACCCAAGTCCAGTGAGTAAAACTGCAGGTCCTGATAGATGTCCACAGACAAAAAGACGCTTGAATCTGTGTTTCCCTACAATTCTGAGGAAAAAAAAAAAACGTTCAATTCCTTCCCTGCCTTCTAACAGAACTCTGCAAGATGCATTAAGCAGCAGTGGAACTGAAATATCTGAAACTGAGACAACATAGCGTTATGTGACTAACTGCCTGAAAACTGTAAATCACAACTGAATTAGTTACTCAGGTGATTGGCTGCCTTTTCAGGGTGCTTGTACAAGTGCTAACTGCCTAACAAATGGAACCCAATTCATGACTGCGACCTCCAAGCACTGCCACAATACACTGCTCATTGGAATAAATGCAGGCAAGTGGCATTTAGATTTTACAGACATCCAAACCACAATCCAGCAAACAGCCTAAAGAGAATTGCATGCCCTCAAACCCTTTCGAAACACAGACTCCAGCACACACTGAAACTAGGGGTGCCAGAAATGATGGAAATAAGCACATTTTTAACCAAATAGCTCAAGGGGAGTTTATACCACAGTCCAAGGGTTAACGCAAAAGCTGTTGTTTGTAACTGAAATGGCAACTGGAGCAATGCTCTGTGCTGTTTAGGTTTCAGAGGAAAGGGAAACAATAAGCCTCCAGTCTGAAGAACATGCCAGCCCTATTTAAGACCGCACTGTTGCCTAGCAAAAAGCTTCCCTTGCTCATTACACAACAGAGCAGTTAACAAACATTACCTTTGGGAATTTTGAATTTATCATCCTTCCTGTACCACAGACAGCCTTGCTGCGTGCTCAGTATTTTGACTGGATATTCTGTCTCAGGGCAGTCGGGTGCCTTCAGAGCAAAATCAGTGGCTAAAGCAAAGAACAGGCGAGTTACTATATTTCATATCCACAGCCATCGATGCGAATCCGCCATCTTCAGAAGGGTAGGCAAACTGCTCTTCTCTCCTGCAGATTGCTGAAGTACATTCAGTAGCACTATCTGGGCCCCAATTTTAGATCCAACACCCGAACTCAGGCTCACAACCAATCCTGAAATGAAGTACAGATGGGCTACTATGTCCAATTCAAGAGATAAAAGTTTTTTATTCTTTTTACACCTAGTGACAGATGCAGCTTCTATTTTAAAGAGTTTGTCATTGTCAAAAGAGCAGCAAGCCAAAAAATTCCCCCTCTGAGTAAACCAAGTTCTGGTACATAGCACGCTAATACTGTTGGTCCAAAATTAAAACTTATAGAAGTCAGCTTTAGGAGGAATTCAGATGGATATTTCTGCAGTCTGACTTCAACAGAGGGGAAAAACCCTATAACAGCCCATCTCCTCAAAATGACTATGGGGGAAGTGTGACAGTCCAATCAGATACTGGCAGCTCACGTACCTATGTATTTGTTTTCTTCAGGAAGGTGCAAATCCTCATTTAACTCGAAGTCACTAGCCCATAGATCACTCCAGTATTTGTCAACATCTGCAAAAAACATGAATTTAGTCAATTAACGGGAGACAGGCTTAGCAAATCAGCAGCTCCTGCACTGACTCCTAGAAAAATCCTCTCCTCCTTTAGACAAGTCTGTCTTTGTGCCTATCTGCAGAACAACAGGAGCTTCTCTCCTGATGCCGTGTGGCGCTCCTTAACACCCTTCTGTACATCCCCTTTTAAGACTCCCTCCACCCAGACTTAGAAAAAAGAAAGAGTCATATTTAAAAGCAACTTTAGGGTGTGCACTTCAGCACTGCAAATTACCACAACTTGCCTTTCCCTCCACTGCCTGTATTTTCATCCCTATTCAATACTTATTTGGAGTGGGGAGAAAGGGATCTCCCTTCTAACACCCCCGGTGCTCCAAAAATATTTTAATAAAAGGATCTTTCAGAGACAATGCTTCAAGGTGGAAAAAATAACTGTACAGTAGCATGAGGTACTCAGGTCTTTACTGCTCCATGCTCCGGGCAAGACAGCCACAGTCAAATTTGCACATTCCCACTCCTGCAGGCTGCACACTGCACTGGCACCCTTTTAACAGCCTTGAGGGCTTTAAACAACCTCTGACCCCTTCTGGACAGTCACTTTACCTTCCACACTGTATTGTGTGCCAAACCATTTCTCCTTTAAATGACACTGTCCTTCATTGGCAGCAGACAACAGAACAAGGTTGGCTCCCTGTGGGTAAAGCTGGTTAAGGGCATCAGCAATGATCTACAAAGAAAAAAGGCAATACACCTCAGTTCTAATGTAAAACTTTCCCTGTGCCTGCCAAAGTTTTAAACTTATTCTAAAAAAGTACAGGAGACTCAAAGGATTCTTTTAAAACCAAGCTATTTGCTTTTGGATTCTAAAATTATTGGAAGCTACCCAAATAACCTATAAAACCTGTGCAATACAGTGCAGTTTTCTGAATTTCCCCATCTCAGATGCATTCAAAGCTAGATACACCCCAGCGAAATACATAATGATGTGCTTGCGCAATTTTGCACATAAAAATGATTGACACTACATAACTACGTAGTTTTGTGTAATTTAACCTGGGCAGGCTCTATACCTCCACCTCTACAGGGCTCCTGGCTCTCCAGCTGGGAGCCCCATGTGGAGGCACCTAGCACAGTGGTGCATGACTGGACAGCTGGTGAATAGGGAGGGGAGCTCCTGCCTGCAGGAGGGGGGGTCTGTGGGTAGGCATGGGGGTGTGTGTGGAATTTGGGCCCCTCTACCACAAATCCACTCCCCATCACGGTGGGCAACGACAGCACCACAGCAGCAGCAGGGCCTTATGGCCACAGCAGGCAGAGCCCCCAGTGGTGCATGGCTCTGGGTAAGTGGCTGCACATGGTGGCATGGAGCCCATCAGGCCCAGCTCTCTGGCACGTGCCCACAGGCCAGACTAGGCTGACTCTGTGCCAGCACGTGGGGCTCACAACACTGCAGGCAGGAGCTACATACCATTGGGCCGGGCTGGGCCAGCTCCATGGCTCCATGTGAAGCTTCCAGCACTCCAGTGGGAAGGCCCATGTGGAGGAACCAAACCTGCCCGGGACGATGGCACATGGCTCCCATCTGCAATGCTGCAAGCCCCACGTGCTGGTATAGAGCCAGCCTGGTTTGGTGTGAAGGTACACGCCAGAGGGCCAGGCTGAGCAGGCTCTGTGCCACCGCATGCAGCCCCCAGGACTCAGCTGGAGCCACATGTTGCCCGGGGGACTCTGCCTGCCGCAGCCATGAGCACCCCAAGACCCACTGCCCGCTGCTGCTGCCACCAGCGGCGGCAGGGGTTGTACACCATGGGGACGACAGGACACACACACACCTGTGGCAGGGGGGCCCCCCCAACACCACCCATGAACCCCACACCCACCCAGACAGGGTTTTTGGCACAGTTATTAAGGATGTAAGATGAAAAGTAAAAAAAAATAAGAAGCAATTAATAATTTACAATTTTTCTGCGCATAGTTCCCTGGGGTGTAGCTAGAAGGCAACTCACTTCAGGCTTGTATTCAAACAGAAGCTGGTCCCCTGTCAGGAAGTCCTCCTTCTGAAACAACTGCATATTTTCACAAAGGCTTTCCACATAATCAACAGGATCAGTCTGCAAATAAGGAAAATTGTTTCACACATCACGTAACTAACACAATTGTTTTTTTGCAGAGCAGAGCTCGTCTACTGTATTTGCCAAGCTTTACTTTTGGTTACTGAACCTAAATGCGAGTCCGAAACTGCTCCTTCCTCATTAAGCTTTTCCACAGCACTGAAACATTACGAAGATCATCATTTTTTTTTTTGGTTAAAAAAAGGACCCTCTAACTTTCCTAGAAGCTAAAAAGGAGGACACATTAGCCCATTATACTTGGCTCTTTGGCTATCAGACTGGGGAATCAGTGTCTAGAGAGGGGTAGTTTTCTGCTGTGCTGGTGGTATGGCTGCAACTAAATTCTGAACAGCTGGGATATAAGATCTGGAGGTCTTTCTTTCCCTTGTGTGTCATTTTCTTTCTGTATCTTACTGCTCCTTCCCTATATTTCTCCTTCTGTTTTCTGTACGGGAATCTTAGCCAGCCAATTAAATTCTGCTATGCACACAACTTTTACATTTCAAATGCTTAAAAAAAAGTCTTTTATTAAGCGTAGATTTCATAGACATTAGGGCTGGAAGGGACCTCAGAAGATCATCAAGTCCAGCCCCCCGCCCAAAGGGCAGGAAGTCAGCTGAGGTCATAGGATCCCAGCAAGATAAGCATACAGTTTGCTCCTGAAAGTGTTCAACGTAGGTGCTTGAACCAACTCCGATGGCAGGCTGTTCCAGACCTTGGGGGCTCGGACAGTAAAGAAATTCTTCCTTATGTCCAGCCTGAAATGGTCTCGCAGTAGTTTATGACCGTTCGACCTCGTCATCCCTTGGGGCACTCTGGTGAA